GCTGTCGTTACACTTCACGTATCTACTGTTACTTACAAAGCAATAATAATACACCAGTTCGATCCCGGACTTTGCCTTTGAAGGAATGCAAAGGTTGCTAAAGTTCGGCCAAGGAATCTGATGATTAAGGGTATAGGTGATACAGTTTCAATGCGAATTTCCATGAGAACTGACCGTTCTGTTGTGATTCTCAGCAAGCGGTCGCTCCTTGGAAAGAATGACAAGCAAACAGAATATTGTTCTTATTGAATTTCCACTAAATGTGAAGTATCCCTTCATTGTGTTCCTGACCAAGAGTCACCGCTACACCGCACGAATCCTGGCAACCGAGTTTCAATTTTCTGCACCTTTCTGTATCATGCACCTTACTCTGACAATCTGACTAGGAGTGATTACACGGGTTTCACTCCAATCTGGGCAGAATAACGATGAATAGGAATAATATTTCTTCAGCTTAGTATGTGGCTAATATGGGCTACCAGTAACAGATTTCAATGGCGGTTATGTAGGGCAGGGAATGAAGGCGAACGAACACTATTGCGTTTACACTCTCGATAACACATATAAGTGAGAACCGATCGTTTAGGCGAGTAATCCTACATTTCTACAACGATCACCTCAACGGGAGCTAGGATCTTCTCAAAGTGCAACGTGTGCTCGGTGTTTGGAGAATCAAAAGGTCATCGATGAGCAGCAGAATGAAATCGTGTTCTACAAAAAGAAAAACAAAGACCTCACCAATCAGGTATGCCATTCTGAGCCGAAGAATTTGGGGCGCTATCGCAATATGTATGCGGTGGCATTTTATCAGAACACGCGCATTCTGATCAAATCGTGGTTATACACTTGCTAATAAATACCTGAACAAGGCATAGAACACGTCTAAACGTATGTATTCTGACCCAGTGCCAGCAGTTCCACTCCTTCCGCTGTATTCTGTCGATTTTGTAATATTTAATCCTGTTGATCGTTATCACAACACAGTTGTTCATTTCTTTTTTTCCTTGGACTAATCCCAGAGGAGGGGTAGGAACATCGGGGATACAACTGGAGCCTCTTCTTCACTTAGGCTTTGTTCCATTTTTGATAACAGAGAGATGTTTTTGCGGTTTGTAATGCATTGCCACCACAAGACTCCCGTATCTTGCGATAGTGCCTCAGAATCATCCCTGTTCACTTTCCTTCCTTCAGAAAGCTTAACTTTAGTATCACGTGAAGCGTTTTCTTTCTGCACTCCTAACCACTGCTTGACATGTTTACGATACGTGGAATGGGTTTACGAAATGCCCTCGTATATTGCGATAGCGCCGAATTAATAATAGTAAAGTTGTAATAATAGTAAGTTGCACGAGTGACAAGATGAATGAATATTATCGTGGTCCATTTTGGACCCTGAAACAGATACTTAATTCCTCAAATCGAATCGAACCAACTTACTGGTCGCTTGACTTGAGAATAAAAATTTACGGATTTGAGGACTGAAATGTCATTTGCCTTACTGATGTGTCTCATGAGCAGAGTGACTCCTTTCTGTATCCTCCTCCCCTATATGTATATCCTAAAAAATTTGCATACATATAAATATTTTTTTAAGATTCTTCAAACCGAGGACAGATGGACGATAGAAATCGAGAAGCAGAGGCAAATCTTTGAGAATGAAGTTGGTTTCACCTTTTGAAATCCCGGACTTCTGTCTGCGGCCTTAAATGAGGGACTAACCGCTGGAGTTGCAGATCAAATGTCTTGGATGTCGGTTGGCTGACAGTAAACGGCAAGTGGAAGAGCATACTCAAATGTTGCAGTCTAAAACGCTAACGTTAACCGAGAAAACCCGAGCGTTAGAGGAACAAGAAGAACGTTGTAATCGCCTGCAACGAGAACTCGAACAGCAAAAAAAGGAGAAGCAGGTAGTGTCATGAGTGTCGCCTTTCTCAGTCGATTGAGAAGCTGGGCTTCTGGAAGATGAAATCGAGGATAGTATCGTAAATTTCGAAGAAATTAGGTGACGGACAATATAGAAATATGGCAATCTTTCCACATTCGAATTTTCTTTGTATTGGTTTTTCATATTCGAATTTTTTCTTAGTATTGGCTCCCAGAGCCAAATGCATTACTTCCTGAGCGTGTTGATCGAGTAACGATCTCACAGCAAATCTGCAAATCGCAAGCGTTATAAGTACAGCATTGCACAGTTTCATGAACTAATTAGTTTCTTTTTCACAGCAGCGTTTGAAATCACCTAAACCGAGCTCTTGGCAAGCAGTAATTGGATG